ACACAGACGCTTCCTGCCCTCACCCCGCCAAGCTCTAGCAGCCGCACAGAGCAAGCGGAAGCCACTCGATCTGTCCTCCGCACCTTTTTTAAGAAACCATCAGCAATACCCTCTAAATCACAGACTTCCCCTGCCTTGGAAAACATCCAACTTCACGTTGAAATGTCCCTGTAGGGCCCCATGAGCTCAGAGCAGTCCCTTATCGCTGCCTGGGCTGTTCTCACTCCCAGTGATCCCACAAAGTACGGTCTGTTTTGTGAGACCACGCACCCCCATTCCTGCCAACCACGGGATGATGGAGGGATGCAGATGGGGCGCTGTTACAATAGGGCCTTCTTGTCGTCACCACCCCCACCCCCCCGGAGCCAGTGTTTCTCACCGACAAAATCACACCCAAGCAAATGAGTGATGCTCAAATTGTTTGACAGATCAATCCTGTTGAAAGACATTTGCACTTTAATACAAGCTCTAGCAGAACTGACCACAGATCTCCCCGTTCATGACAGCAAGAAGGCACTCGACGCTCATCCTGAGCTGGTTCCACTTTTCCAGTCTCATATCCTCTTCCACATCATTTTCCATGCTTGTCTACCCTGTGTCTAACCAACTTTCAGATTCACTCATCCCTGGTTGCACTTTGTAAACGTGTCTTTACAAAACCAACAACTTAAATATTTGCTTTTTAAAAAACTTAAACACATTCAAGTAGTCACTTGACTTCACAACTGATAACTCAGGGTGAACGTTCTCATTAACTACATCACATCAAGCCTTGTCATAACTAAAGTTGAGCACACAAAGTTGAAGTTAAAATTTTATTTATGACCAGAGTAACATAAAATTTTTCATGCTTCAAAAAGAAAAAAAAAAGTCTTAAGCGGGTCTCTGGCTTCTCTCTCATTCACAACACATCCCAACCTTGTGGTTTCTGTTCTTAACTTTCTCTCTACCTGGGGGAGCTCCAGCGCCTTCGATGGGGAGTGTCATGGGATTGGGCAAGAAACCACATCAAAAATAGCAGCCTCTGAAAAGGAAAGTGAGCAGGGTCCCCGCCAGGGTCACGGTCGGAGCGGCTCCCGGCGTGCTGCTTTCTGCCCCTGGCTGACCCTGACCGCTCCCACGGCCGCAGGCCCTCTAGAGGCTCTGTCTGCCTCGCTGCATGCGAACCCCAAGGGGGCCGGAGGAAGAGACTTTTAAGAGACGAACAGAAAGGCTGGATCTTACCCCACAGAATAAAAACTCGGAAAACCTGGAATTTACACTCTAACTAAAAGCTGCAGTCTTGGTCTTGTGCTCCACTTGTCGTTTCTCAGCTGTCCACCAGTGTGCGGACCCGGCCAGCACTGAGCTGCCGTCCGGGGCCCCTCCGCCGAGGTCAGGCCTGCCGTTCCAGGAGCTGAAGTCACTAAAATCAGGTAATTCCAAAGAAGCCCGCTGAGCTGGTCTTTCTTTTTCAAAACATCCCATTCTCAGCAGCAGATGCAGCGCCTCCAACCAGCACCGGCTCCCGCTTTACTACTCAACAACGCGACAACGCTAAGCTTTTCTCCACGGTAACAGACGTTTCCACATAAAAATTACAAAATTTAAGTGTCTAGTGGTTTTTTTTCCTCTTTGGCAACTACTGTTGCTTGGACAGTCCTCACCCTCCCCTTATTAGAAAAACCACCCTGACAAAGGGGGTGTGTGGTGCGGGAGCCCGGAGCCCGGGACCCCTTCCCGCCGCCCGTGGTCCCTGAGGTAGCTGGCCGCCTGCCGCACAGCGGCCACCTGCCGGGTGCGCGTCCCCTCCCAAGCAGTCACCCCCCACAGCGGGACCTGCATGCAGCCCTCGAGGCCGCATAGCCCCACGGCTCTTCAGGGTGTGGGACGGGTCAGAGGGAGAGATCCCCCGCGGAGTTCTCCGAACATTCCTCATCGTTTGGGTTATGGCACTGCGGTTACAGAAGGCTGGTTTTCAAGTTGCAGGTTTTATTGGTTTTAAAGATTTCAAGACCCTCCAGCATCATCTGTTCCAACAACAAAAAGAAGGAATACGAAAATGTTAAAACTCAGCTTAAAGGAGTGTTTGCGGAGGATCTCTAGTTCAGGAACTGTCTACGGCTTTTCTCCCACGCTAAACACTCTCAAAGTGACCCCATCCGGAAGCAGCCACCGCCACCTATAGACATGGCTCTGGGACTCGTACAACCATCAAGGAATCTCGACGCCCGGATGTAGCCCTTTCCCTTCCTAGAGGACCGGGAGCGGGGAGCGGTCACCCGACTGGGGGGCCATATCACCATGCGGATGGCAGGAGCCCACCACAGGGCAGGGAGGACGGCAGCTGGCCACACTCCTCTGCGCTCTCTGGCCCCCGGGGACCCAGAGGGCTTCCCTGAGGACACGTGCCTGCCTGGGGCGCAGGCACCCGGGGATCCCCTGGGGCCCCACTGGCTCGCCGGCCACAGCGCCCCACCGCCCAGGGGCGGCCCTGGCGGGGGAGCCGCGCATACGCAGCCACAGCAACACCACGGGCTCTGCCTTCTTCACTCGCACAAGTGACCGAGCGGCCCCAGACAGGGCGACAACACGGGGCAGGAAAGAGACCAGTGGGAAAAACCACCTGTCCTGGAGGAAAACAATCAAAGCGCTCATTTCATTTTTTTCATTTTCATTTGCTTACAGATGTCCTTACTAGCTGAATTCACACTCCAAATATTTGCCAAAGACTGGAAAGAACTATATTCGAAATGCCCCTGAAACGGCATTCTCCGCCTACAGGTGTGTGTGTGTCGAAGGATCTGCTGCAGGGGTGGCTCAGCGTCCTCCAGAAGGCTCCCTCCCATCTCCTCCTGCCGCCAGGCCTACCCAGCTGCGACACTCTGCCCACAACGCTCAGTTTTTTCCTTGCTTCTCCGGTCCTGAGAAAACTATGGTTTCCTCGATTGTTTCTTTTGACTCTGTTCCCTCCTCCTTGATTTCGTCCTGGTTGGACCTCCTGGATTGATTTCTGCTGTTTTTCTCATGCCTTCATGTTCATTTTCAGTCCTTAACTTTTCAAAAACTTTCTGGGAGGTTCTCAGAATTATGTTGTAGCCTTTGGGTTAAATTTTTATTTTGAGAGCGTTACCGTTAATTTCTGGGAGCTCTTCTTTTCTGACTTATTCTCTTTCATAGCATCTCCCCCCCACCCCTCTGGCCATGATTGTGATCTCTTTTCAAATTTCTGGAGACACCAAGGGCTTCCCTGTATCTGACTCTACTCCATTCCTGAAAACACTGGGATTGAGGATTTTCAGATAAGAGTTAACTTTTTATTACTTTAAATAAGAAAACATAAGCAAAATGCCCTTAAACACCTGACAACCCACTAAGAATTTCTAGGGCTATGAAGCATGTCACATGTCAGGTACCTGTTATTCAACATTTAAATGACGCCTCGGGGTGGTGGGTAATGTTTGAGCAGTGCTGGGACACTGCATTTTTCTTCTACATCATGAGGAACATGTACTGTTGAAACAGTCTGTTGTAGATACAGAGATCGCTGATGAAGACAGAGAACACTGAAAACTGAGCCAGGTATATAAAAAAGATTTCCACCTAAATATACCTTCATCAAATTCCTGAATATGAGAAAAAAAAAAAGAAGATCCTAAAAGCTTCCAGAAAGGGAAGCAACAGGTCACCTACAGGTGACAGAGAACTGGGCTGCCAACAGACTCTCTCCCAACAGGAAACCGAGACCCGTAAGACAGCGGAGTCCCTCGGGAAAGTAGGAAGCAGAACCCCACACTCCGACCACGCATGGAGAGTAAGGACCACGAGAAGACACCTGCAGACACCCTGGGCCTTGGGGAGCTAGTCCGCTGCACACAGGGCTGTCACAGCCCCCGAGAGGCCTGGGCAGAAGAAGAGCCAGCAGCAGCCCAGGAGGCCAGGGAGGGCAGCTCGGGCCTGGAGCGGAGCAGAAGGTCAGGGTCTCGGGAAAGGGGGGCGGGCGGTATGACCGAGAGAGTGATACGTTAAAAACACTGCGAAACGTTGATTTTTTGGACAAGGCAAACAGAAATCTAGAAACTCCTCAAAAAATAAAAAGCAACACCAGCAACTCCAACATGCAACAAACAAAAAATGCATTTGCCCTTGACATTGAGAACATCCTGCAAATGACTCCGGTCCCGTTTTAACGCAGCACGCAAGTCGGTGAACCAGGAAAAAAATACCTGCACTATTTTAATAAAGTAAGTGCTTTTGTTTCCAACTTTAAGACAACCGACAAGCAGACCGGGGGGCTCGCTCCGGCCCGGGCCGTGACCACGCACCCAGCACTGCCCACAGAGAAGTGGCCTGGCTGGGGGAGGGGCCGGTGCAGACTCAGGAGTCCCACCCGCGACCTGGGCAGCTAGAGATGAGGCGCCCTGGGCCCTGGAGGGAGGCCGGGCTGGGCGAGCGGCACCAGATCCCCTCCCGGAGGCAACGGGCCTGATCCACTTAGATAATCGGTTTCCGAATATCTCAGTCCCTGACGGAGGGAACAAGAAACAGGATTTGAAGTGGTATTTTCTGGAGACTGAGGGGACGTAAGTCGGGACAGTGGGCACCGCCGAGTAGCCACCGGCGCTGCTCGGGGAACTGGCCGTGATCGCGTGGCAGATGCGCTCTGTGAAACCAGGTGACCCGGAGGGCGTGCTGCTGGCCTGGCGCACAACCCCCAGCACCGAGACGCGCTCCCGGCCGAGGCCGCGCCCGCCACCCTGCCAGCCCCCTGACCACGCGGGGGTCCTGCCGCAGAGAAAGCACCGTACCGGGCGCCTGGGTGGCGCAGTTGGTTAAGCGACTGCCTTCGGCTCAGGTCATGATCCTGGAGTCCCGGGATCGAGTCCCGCATCGGGCTCCCTGCTCGGCAGGGAGTCTGCTTCTCCCTCTGACCCTCCTCCCTCTCATGCTGTCTCTCATTCTCGCTCTCTAAAATAAACAAATAAAATCTTAAAAAAAAAAAAAGAGAGAAAGCACCGTACCCGCATCCGACCGGCGGGGCCGTTTGGAGACTTCCATTCCGTTCTCCTCCAGCTTCCTCTTGGCGCAGTCCTGACACGCATTCCCTGAAAGAGGAAACCCTTTACTTACAAGCTGATCTCTTCCAGAATCCACCCTTCAAGGACCCATTTATAAATCTGACTGTACTGAGGCACCGGCCCCCGACCCCTGCCAGACGCCACAGGGGACGCTTTGTCCCAAAGAGAAGATGGACGTGGGAGGCACGTGCAAGTGACAGCGTGACATAATAAAGGTGTCCCTCCACAGGGCAAGGAGGCAGAGATGGAAAGCGGAGCGTGATGCTTGCGGGGTCCCTACATTGAAGGCCGAGCACCAGGCGGCGCCCAGAGGCTCCTCTCCCCCCGCCCCCTGCCTGACCGAAGCGGGCAGCCTGGCGCCGAGGCCCCAGGGCCACCGACAGGAGGACGGTGCCGCGACCGAGCGCAGTCCTAGCTCGTGATTCATTGACAGCCAGAGCTGAGCCTAGCAACAAGAACCTTCACCTTGCCAACCAGCAGCACGCAGGAAAATTTTATACGAAAGCTCAGAACCTTTGCAATGAACATTTCGGAAGGGGACGGGACGAAGCTACTACACTGCAGACCCCGTGGTAAAATACGACTCGAATCCTGTTGCGATTGCCCTGCAACTCTTGCTTGTGGGACGGGAAATCATTTTCAGGTGCCAGCACACAAGCCATGTTCACGCTGCGCCTCCCCGCTGGAGGGACACATTTTTAATCCCTCCACTGTCGCAGGGACCATCACGAGGCCCCGCTGGTCCCCATCTCTGGTGGGGCCGGATTACGACAGGTTAGGTATTTACTGTGAGAAACCCTTTCACAATTCTACAGTGGCAGGAAGATAATGGAATGTGTAGGCAAAAACCAGGCTGGTAAAAATCAAGATCTGCTTTACCCAACAGTGTGGTGCTGTCCACTCGGTCAGCATCTGGAGAAGAAAGGAAAACAGTCAGCAGAACCAAGACTTCACAGGCTCTTTGTCCTCAAGCTGGCGGTGGGGACAGCGGCCAGGCCTGCTCAAAGAGGCAGCGCGACAGTGACCGAGAACCTGGATGCCAGGCCGGTGAGCGCCCCCCTCTCCTCCAACCAGTGTCAGCGTGAGGACCGGGGGCGGGGGGGGGGGTCAGCGCGTGGAGCGCGGCACAGCTGGGCCCGCCTGGCACACAGGGAGAAAGGGCACCCGCTGTCGCGGTCATAGCTGTCAACGCCAGGACACCACCTCTCCAGTCAGGAGAGGTCCTTCACGAACGTAAGGACAATGTCCTTAAGGACCCGGTCACAGATTATAAGTCCAGAAGATCTTTCGGCCCCGACAGCTTGCCAGATCCACTCAGCTGCCAGGGTCTGGGAATGCGGCCTCCGTGGGCCAGGAAGGCACCCAGGGCCCCGCGCCCACGCGGGTGGTCCATGAGGTTCTGGTCCTCCGGGGAGCCGTGTGTGCAGAGGCAGGATGGGGAGCGCCTCCGCCCCGCTCCAGAGCCAGGCCCGTGGGCCTGTTTGGGACACAATGGATTCCAGTCCCAGCTCCAAAATCTCTGGGAACTACCTGGGCAAGTGATTGACCTCTCTGAGCTGGTCTCACCACCTGTCAAATCACCTACTTAAGTGGCCGTGGATACTGGGACTGAAAATGAAGATCTCAAGGAGGTAAAACTCAGAGCAGAGTGTGACCCAGCGAGCGTCTGGCCCGGCTCCTTCTCTGCCTCAGAAACGGACTAGTGCCCTGCCTCTACTCTCCTCCGTGGAGAAGCAACTTACGCCGGTCCACAGGCTAGCCACTGGCGGTTCCGACCAGGACTAGTGGGGACATATGACGCTACTGGACCCTGTGTGCATCCAGTTACCCGTGATCTTGGCACCCTCTAGTCTTTGAGGTCACAGCGGGCACGTGCAGTGGCTGTGTGCTGACCCAGTTCCCCTGCCCAGGGCAGCAGGGCTCGGTTCTTGTCATTAAATCCAGCCAGTCCAGACCTTTCCAAGTCTACCATCATCCATGTTTTAGGACCCCAAACTTAAAGCCATTAACTGCCCTATGTCAGGATGACCAATTTAAAACCTGCTCCATTATCTTGGTCATTCCTGGCAGTTCCCCAAAAGCTGGGCCCAGGAGAATTACTCAAAAAGGTGTGTTGCACGCAGCAGAACAGGGTAAAGATGTTATGTGCAAAAAGATGTAAAAGTCTTCATGAGATCATTTTGTGCCTCTGCAGTTTTAACTTGTAAAACGCAGCGAGGGCCTAAGGGCACCTGAGGGCTCTGTGCTTTCCCAGCTTCGGTGTCTCCGCTGCGGACACTGGCGGGCGCGGTCTCCTGGCTAAGGTAACTGGATGCATGGTGAGCCGTCTGAAACAGGAATAAACTCGGACTGCTGTCGGCACAGCCTTAAGCGCTCACGTCCTGTGCACAGAGGTCACCGTCACACCGACTACCCCGGCCTTCTATTTGGCACACACAACCTTTTTAAGATCACCAGAGGGCTCGGGAATTTAGTGGTACAGAAGTTACATCTCCGTTTTATTTTATAGTGTGCAAATTGGATCTCAAAACAAAAAGGAAAAACCGGAAAGAACTCAATCAGTCTCGTACCTGGAGAAGTCGAGAAAGAAAACCCCCTACCTGGACTGCGCTGTCTGCAGATCTGAGTGGCAAGGTCCTGCACGTAGCCAGGAAAGTAGTCAAAACAGTCCCCATAGGACACGACTTTAATCCCATGCAAAAGCATGTCTGCTTGGTGCTTGAAGAAATGGTCTTCACTCTCCTTGAGCACGACCATGTAGTGCTCCAGCTCCACCCTGTTGGGCACCGAGTACAGGAAGAGGGCCTGGAAGATCTGGTCACGGAGGGTCTCTCCGCAGCCCACAAACAGGAAGGACTTGGTGCGGTACAAGTTCTGGAGAACTTCCTGTGGAAAAACCAATGAAGAGCCTGGAACGCTCATCCGAAAGACAGTGAGATCCTCAGCCCGACCGCCAGCTACGGGTTACACCTTTAGAAGGTGGCTCAGCAACAGGCCCTTCCCACCAGCCACGCCGGGGACAGAGTGAGAGAAGCAGCGCGCACTCCAGACGTGCTATTCACGTCAGCCCAGCGCCGCAGGCGAGCAAACAGAGGCCCACGCTGAGCGGACATCCCTGCTCGGCGCTCATGGGAGCCCCTTCCTCTCCCAGGTGGGAAAACAGGTGCAGATCCCAGTCAGGTCCGGTGTAGATGTGCTTCCAAGTGAGGAGAGCCTAATGCCCACCCCACCCAGCCAGCCGGCCACCCATCCTGTGGTACAGCCCAACTCAGATCTTCTGGGACTGTGTATAATTTTAAATTCTTAAAACACGAAATAAGGACCTTCCATTTGTTTCTGTTCAGAATTGTGCACATGCAACGCTCGGGAACTGATGTGTCTCCACAGATCACAGGTGGGAGCCAGGGGGCTGCTGTCAGGAGAACCGGGTTTTCGGGAGTGAGGGCAGAAGAGCTGAGGGAGGAGGGGACCCGTGACAGTGACCCAAGGGAGCAGGGCAAAGGGGATGGCAAAGATTCAGGGGGCCACTCAGGCACGCAGCAGAGAGTCACCGCTTCAGACATCCAACACCTTAGCAAGAGGGCCCGTGTCCACCCAGGCCTCTCTCAGCGCCCAAGGGCATCCAGTCACCCGCCGGGCCACGCCTGTGCCGTGCCCGGGCCCCAGGCCGGGATCAGCACAAGGACCAGAGCGCCGGACCCTAGATGACCAGGGACTCAGTGAAGATACCGGGGTTTCTAAATGCGCTAATAAAAGACTATAAAAAGCTGAAAAGCAGCTTTTCCACTCTTCATCTTCTCCAGGATATCAAAAAAGCTTCCCAGAGAATGAAGCTGTAAAATGAGGTTTTGAAAGTGAGAGAGATTGCCACGCAGAGAAAGGAGGTGCCTGAAGCCATGCGCGCGCACACACGCACACGCACACACATGCACGCACAGGAGGCGGCAGGAGCAGCCCGAGCGAGTGTGCATGGTTGGTGTAGGGCCCCGCAGGCCGCCCGGGGCATCTGGCCGAGGCGCCAGCGCTTGGAGACACAGCTGCGAACAGAGCCAGCTGTGTGCACTGCGGGGCGGGCGGGCCTAGAGGCCAGGAGACCGCCTGGACGGCCACCAAGTACCTAGTGGCCACCACGTCCCAAGGGACACAACCAATGCCTAACGAAGGCGGGCCGTACCATTACTTCTGGGTCCTGCGTGACATCTTTATACCCCGACGGGTCCAGGACCATCCCGCAGGGGTCCGTGTACAAGCCGTGAATATGAAGAACGCCGTATTTGATGTGCCCTCTCGCCCACTGAAGGACCTGTCAAAATCAAGCCAAGACAAAGGGGAACACCACGTGTTACTTAAAACAGAAGAGGAAACTCTCTAAACTGGGTACGTGGTCTTTCCGACCTACCTCGGGGAGAACAGGGAGCTGCTTCGCTTCACAATGCTCCCCGCAGGGCCCAAGCGCAAGCGGGCTGCTGGGGCGGGCGCTCCCGTCAGGCCGGAGAGGACGGCAGCAGAGACAGACAGCCGGGCGGAAACCACCCCTAGCCCCCAGGGCTGCAACACACTCTCGGGACTGGTGACTTTAGGGGACTGAGAGGATACCTTCTAAGGAACACATTGTGCTTTAATTCCTGCTGTGTATATGTTGTGTTTACACCCAGAAAAAAGAGATACAGAAAAAAAAAGTAACTTATCAAATAGCTCTATACCGATTTCAAGCTCTAGAACAAAAGTCCTTAAAAAGAGGCACATCCTGGGGCGCCTGGGTGGCTCAGTCATTAAGCGTCTGCCTTCGGCTCAGGTCATGATCCCAGGGTCCTGGGATCGAGCCCCACGTCGGGCTCCCTGCTCGGCGGGAAGCCTGCTTCTCCCTCTCCCACTCCCCCTGCCTGTGTTCCCTCTCTCACTGTCTCTCTGTCAAATAAATAAATAAAATTAAAAAAAAAAAAAAGCACATCCCACATGCTGCAGTTTGTCCTCATGCCAGGGAGGCGGGCGGTCCCCACAGCGCCGGATACCTGGACAAACTCCGGCAGCTCGGCTGGTACGACCCGGACAGATGGGCCGGCCGGCACCTCCGCCATAAGCCCTTGGCAGCCTATTTCCAGAGATGCTCTTCCCAACAGCAAGCAGGCCTCAAAGAGGGGACCGGTCTTGGGGGTAGAGAGCAGGTGTCCCCTCACGTGTCACTAACAGCTCAGGAGAGGGTGTGACCCATGGCCGCACCGGCACCGTCCCCGGGGGCTATCCCACAAGCACGTGGCCACCTGCCAAGCTCTGCGATGGGAAAAGAGCCGCAGAAGAGAAACTCAGGGTCTGAGCCGGCCACAGTCACACTCTTACTCGGGGCCTCAAGGGGGCGCCATCTCTAGGCCTTGGGTTCCTGCGAGGAGGGTGGGAGACCACCCTCAGGGCAGAGCGGGGGCTGGGGGGGGGGGTGCCCAGTATTAGTAAGGACATAAAATCTTGAAGCAAATAGCAACGGACACAAACAGGTCACAAAAGAAATGTAGTCAATAACATGAAACCATGATCAACCTTAACAAGGAGAGAAACAAAAATGTAAAATGTTCACCAATTTTCACCTCAATGGGAGAAATGTGTTTTGTTTTCTGGTGACACCATGCGTTCGCAAGCCATGGGAAGGGGACACTCTCCCATGTGGCTCATGGAAGTTTTAAACTGGCTATCTTTCTGGAAAGCAATTTGGTAACATATCATCTGTCTAAAACACTCGGGCCCTTGGACCCCACAACTCTTCTAGGAGTTTTCCCTAAAGAAATAAACAGAAAGACACGGAAGCATAAGTATTTTCACCATAGCGTTACTTATTATCGTGGAAATATGCTAACGATAATAGAGAAAGGCTAATAGTTACTTTTTGGTTTGACAATGACATTGCCATTTACAAACATGCTTTTAAACACAGCTTAACGACAGCGGAACGCTCAATGTATAATATTAAGGAAGAAAATCAAGATAAAAACGCTACATATGGCATATGGCATAATCCCGATTTGCGAACAAGGAGATGGCACTACCCAAGCTTCGCGGCACTAGGACCAGGGGCGATTTTGCTTATCGTGACTCTTCTTGCCCGTAGCTGCACCCCCCGCCCCCGCACACACACCCCAGGCCTGTAAGGAGTCCACGCACATGAGAAGCCTGCGGGACAGGATGCACAACGAAGACAAGGGTGGGTGGTGAGCAAAGTCCAGAGTCGGGAAGGGCTCAGGGTCACTAACGTGCTGGCAAATGAAAGCTCAGCCCGCCTCCCAAGCAGCGCAGACACCACCCGCCCCCCGCCAGCCCCTTGCCTTCTCCCTGCCGGCTGCCCGCCCCGCTCCAGCCCGCAGCCCGCAGCCCGCACCTTCGTCTTGTCCTTCAGGTCCAGAGACTCCATGGGCTTGCTCTGCTGCTGCCCGAAGAGCTCCAGCAGGTTGTCGTAGTTGGTGGTCAGCACCATGGTGCCCCTCTCCATCAGGCTGAGGATGGACTGCAGCACCAGCGGGTTCTGGATGTGCTGCTCCAGGCTGTCGAAAATCTCCATCAGGCAGTCCTGGAAGAAGTTGGGCTTGGTGTCGCCCGTACGCTACAAAGGAGTGGAACAGAAGTTACTAAAAACACCCTCTCTCCGCAAGTACCGAGCACCTAAGCAGCAATGTTCTGGTGCTAGTTTAGAAGAAAGGAAACCCTGACTCGCCGAGTTTACTGAAACCCTGGTGGGGGGAGACAGACCGTGGACAAATAGCGATACGTCGGTAGCGGCCAATGCTACGGGAAACAAAGCCGGGTGCTGCTGGGGGCACAGGCTGGATGGGCCGAAGGGCACCAGGGAGGACCTCTGATAAGGGGCGTTTGAGCAGAGAACTGAGGGAATAAGGGGCCTCTGAGAGCGCGTCCCAAGCAGAGGAAAGAGCAAGTGCAAAGGCACCGAGGTAGCAACAGCACGGTGGGTCCGACGGTGAGCAAGGGGCCCTGGTCGCAGGAGAGGAGCAGGGGTAAGGTCAGCCGGCGAGGCGACCGGAACCAGATCGTGGGAGGCTCTGAAGACCACGGGAGAGGCCTCAGATCGCCCTGCGCGCTGCAGAGGTCCTGCTGTAGAGGAAAGCCTCAGTTAGGGGAAACCAGCGTGGTCTCTGCTGCTGGGAGACCCGGCGGGGTGAGAACGCGAGCCGGCCTCTGGGTGGAGCAGCAGAGCCGCCTCGGGCGAGCGGCGGGGACCAAAGCCTGGCTGGGCCGGGCTCACGAGGACAGGGGAGCATGTGGCAGCAGCAAATGCACACACCCGTCTGGGGGGCCCTGCCGTGAGGGGAGCAGAGCAGTGGGGTGGAGGCTGGCTCGCGGGGTCAGGAGGTTTCCTGCGCTCCAGGAAGACCGAGCCTCCCCAGCCACCCCGCCAGCGCCAGCTGAGCAGTCGACGGAGCCGGGACCGTGCACTGACACCAAATACCTCGGCCCGCCCTCAGGACTGTCCGTCGGAGGTCACTCCGTCCCCGTGGATGTCGCAGGTCACAAGACCCTCGTGTGAGCGCTCCTGGCTCCCCGCCCTCCCTTTCTGACACTCTCATGTCCCTCTCCAATCCCGGAAACCCTTCCCTTGTTCCCAGTGGGTCCATCAGCAGGAAACCCCCACATCTCCCTCTTCTTTTGTGAGCGTTCCCTCCTCCCACCACTGGAAACCGGCCCTCGCCATCCCCGAGGCCCTCACGCCCACGGGCCTGGGAGGACAGGGGTGGATGGGGCTTGCCGCCCAGTCTCTCCGGCTGTACTTCTGTCACAGTTCCTGCTGGTTTCTTCGTCCACTGAGATGACCGTTGTGCATCGTGGCCTCCCCCACAGACCTTGTCCCACCTTGGCCACCCAGCCTCCGGTCACATCCCACACCTATCACTCCCAAGAGTGGGGCCCTTCCAGAACTTCTGGCCCAGGCTCCCGCCGTCTGACCCTGCAGCACCTCAGCTCCCAGGGCCGCCCCAACCCCATCAAGGCCGGCACACCACTGGCTCGAGGGCCCCGGACCCTGGGTCTCCAGCCCGCCGGCCTCACTTCTCCCACTCAGCAGCTGACACCCCATAATCTGTCACCGCAACCGTCCCCCGGACAAGCTTCCCACCTCGCCGCCCTTCCTGCGCTTTGCTGGATTTCCCGGCAACTCGGATACAGCGCCCCCCAGCCCACCCCGTGCTCAGCCTGCTCAGCGTGGTGGGGGAATCCCGCCGTCCTGACTGGCCTCGCTTTAACTCCCGTTTAGCAAGTTTTACATGGGTGGGAGCTCTAACTGGGTTAAACAAGCGCCAGCCTCGCTGGCCTCTCTCCGAATGAAACACCTCACCTGAACGTGCCCCCCACCTGCCCCCGGTGCTGCCCAGCACCCCCACACTTCTGTCCATGGACCCGGCCCCTCCCCCCAGGACAGGGCTCAGCAACCCCGTCCTTAAAGGATCAGAGAGCCACTGTTTGAGGCTCTGTGGGCCTCAGGCTCTGTCACAACTACTCGACCCCACACCCCAGCATGAAAGCAGCCACAGACAACATGCAAATGACCCGTGCGGTCGTGTACCAGTAACTGGATTTACAAAACGGGCGGCAGGCCAGGTTTGGCTGGGGCTGTAACTGGCCAGCCCTGCCCTAGATCCCAGTTGCCCCATATTAATAGAAGACCCCCACGTGGGAGAGCTGCCCGGCTGAAAACCCTTCCCAGGCTCTGGGAAGCCGGGCACGGCCACGTGGTCGATGTGGCTCCCTCATCAGGCCCTGGAGGGGAGGAGGCAGGAGCTCCCCCGTGTTCCCCTCGCTGGACAGGCACACCGTCATGGCAGGAGCCAGGGTCGGCGGGGAGGCTACCCCACAACACGAGGCAGAGGCCGTGCCATGAAGACAGCAGAGCAGCAAGACAGAGAGAGCAAGACTCTCCCAGGCTCCCTGATGACTGCGCAGACTCCTTTCCATGCTTTCTGTGCAGCGTCTCCAACACCTGCCCCACCCAAACTCTCAGAGGATGGCTGTGCTTTAACAAGCTAGAAGTAGCGAGCAGAAGCCCGCCACGAGCCTCTACCACGCCATGTGGCTTCCCGGCGGCTGACCTGGCCGAGCAGCTGCCCGAGGCGGACCCCCACGCCTGCACCAGCGCCCGACTTGAGGGCATCCCTTGGTGACGGTCTCCTGTACGTCCTCCCTCCCTACTAGGTCACTTCCACCTGCAGACAAAGCGGCTCTAACTTCTCCCATCCTCAGCAGTTTGCAGGAACCACCTGTCATCTGAAGACCCGTGGATGGCCTGCTTACACCCAAAACACACCTCGAGGACATCCCTCTGCTAACGGAGTATGAAACTCCGCAGCAAGGCGACATCGCAGATGCCCCCGCCCGGATTCAGGTCCCGGCTAGGCTAGCAGGGGCTGCTTCAGGAACCGCGCCCCCCCTGGCCCCCCGGCCCCCCCAGCATGCCTGGCATCACTGCTACTGAGACAGGTGCTGTTCTAATGGACCTGCTCATCAGCCCCCCCTCTGCCGAGAGCTGAGCACGACAGAGGCTCGTAGAAGCGCACGTGTTAGAGCCCCAGGTTCCTCGACCCGGTCCAGAACCACGTTACCCCAGGGAACCCGGAAGCGCCTGTCTGGGAAAGACTTACAGGGGACATCTTCCGGATCAGATCATGTGCGACCACCAGCAGGTCCCGGTCCTTTGTCACCTTCCGGCGGAACTCCGCCACGTCTCCCGGGTGAAGGACCTCCAGCTGCTCGGCGGCCTCGATGACCGCCTCGATGCAGCCCCTCCACGAGCAGAGGGCGGGGATCCCCGGGGCCACGGCGGCGCTCACGCCCGTCCCGATGACCAGCAGCAACTCCTGCGGCTGCTTCCGGATGAGGCTTTTCAGAAACTTTCTACTTAACACAACGGAAGGAGAGAACAGGAGTCAACACGGAAAGTATCGCAGCCACAAGGGAAAACAGTGTCTAGGAATAGCTGTGAAGCGTGAGGTCAAACAAGGCCACACACCCTTCCCTACCTCACACCACCCGATGATAAAGCCTGTGCATTGTTCTCTTCTGTGTATTATTTTACATGTTCTATCCTCGGTCCATAAAGGACCTGGGGACAGTTGTGTCTTATGCATCTTGAGGCCCCCGTGGTGTTAAGCACCCATTTAAGTGATATATATGGGAACAAAAAGCTATCAATTTTAACTCCTCTGAAGCTGTCAAGAGCCTGTAAATACCAAGCATGATGACAAAATGATCCCTGCTTGCAGTGACAAGTAAGAAAATTCCTGGCCAAAGCTGGTTTTCTGCCTCTTACGCACCCGAGCCCCTCCCGAGCTAACACCTCCTGATCTAGCAACACTTTTAACAAGAACCACCCGTGGTCCACGGAGGGTCAGAGAGTGCTCGCCAGTGACTCCTGGCATGCCTCGTCTCAGACGTGTTGCTTGGAGACCAGGTTACTGTCACTTCTTTGGGCAAAGAGAAAACTGCCTTCTGGAACGTTTCTTACGCTGAAGCGAAGGGTAGCTGCACAACCGCCAAGCTTCCCTCCTGACACAAGGTTCTCATTCCATGCTCACCTCTGCAGGTGCTAAATAAATATAAGTAACACCGAAGGGGACGTATGACAGAGGCCATCTACCTGTGTGAAGGTGTAGCTGACCTTATTTACCTGGACTTTTGTTCACTTCTGTTTGTTGTCTTTTCCACTGGATCCATCTGTAAATCCTAAAGAGAAAAAGTAGTCAGAAGGGACTTCCACTTCCCAAATAAATCTTCTATTTATTCCCAAATAAAATCTTTTATTATATATATTATATATATTATATGAAGAGAGTTCAAGCTGCAATTAAAATCAAAGGTCCTGGATCTTTATTTAAATTAGAATACCTACAAAACGTCATAGACAAAACACATACTTTGTAAGCCACAGGTCCCTCCAACCAGCCAGGCAAAGCCTCAGATGCAGATTATCCGCAGCTCTGCACTGGACAGAGAAGGAATAGGAGGGAACTCGCATCCCACCCGGACGGTGCAGGGGGCGCAGTGGTGGGTGTCCCTTGCCGCCCCCTTTAGGACTCCAGAGGGTTTCCAGTGGACACAAACACAAATGACTTATCACAGAAGGAAGTACGAAAAGTGGCCCAATGGAGTGGAGCCAGGAAGCAGTTTCTCAGGGGTGTCTATGTGTCCCGTGGGGTGCGGTATCCTAGTGCAGATGGAGCCCAGCCCCACCAGCAAGTCTTCCCGGGCACAAGCCCCTTGGCCACGCTGAAATCCAGTCCAAAGAAAGAGTATAAGTAAAAGGTCAATTCTTAGGTTATGTAAAACAAGAATCTTCAACCAGCTAGGTCTCTATTGCCAAACTATCTCCATATTCTACAAATTTTGCACAATCACTTTCCTCCAATTTCCTACTGTAAGACAAGGAAATATACAGAAAAATCAAGCTGAAAACCCCATAACCCTACTACCAATGAGCAAGAACTGTTACGAACATTTGCATATGGCCTCTAGATGGTTTACATTTTTCCCATCATTTGAGTCCAAAGGTCATAGCCCACTTTTTTTCCATGCATTATAATAAAAGCATTTTCCTGACAACCAACTTTGTGCACAAAAATTTTTCTCTATTTTGGAATCTTTTTTTTTTTTTTTAGGAGAGATTTCTGAGAATTGCTGAGTTAAAGAATATTGTACAAAATTTCAGCACATACTGGCAAACTACCTTTCAGAAAAGTGGTCAGCAGAATATGGGGGTGCCCTGCCTGAAAACCACCTTTCTACATGTGCAGTCTTTTTTTTTTTAATCTCAGAATCCGGTCACCAAAAATAATTTCCCAGGGTAGGCAAACAAGGCTCAATCACCTTATGGCATCATTAGATTTTAGAGCTAAATGGGTTCCTAAGAGTATCCCCTGACAATGTACACACAACTGTGTAGACGCCTGGATGCCTCTTCCCACCCTGTTGTGCCCCGCCCTGCCCCGCCTCATCCAGTCCCATCCGGTCCAGTCCCGCCCCACCCCTGCCCGTGGAAAGGGTTCAGAGCTTCCATCAAACTGCCAATGGTGTCTGTGACCTTTCCCCAAATGTTAAGAAATCTCAGTCCACAGGCAAGAAAAATGCTGCTCCCAGATGCCTGTCATCTGTCCAAAGGGAAAGCAAGGCAAAGTTAGGGCTGGTTCTCTACCTTCACTCCATCCTCCTTCCCGATACAAAGTTACTACAAGAGCCATGAGGGTCAAATCTTTTTTTTTTTAACCTACTAGATATCTTCTAAGGAAAAAAACAAACATAGGGGCTTTCCACTACATTAAGAAACCCTGGATGCCAGCCCTGAGATTTCAATGGCTGACCTAACTATTCACCAATCCTCGGTTTTAACAACCATAAAATACGAATTCTTGCTAACTGAGCAAGTTTTGAAAGCTCGAAAATCTCTCCTATGAAAGGTGCTCTGGAAGCTCAATTCACTGAGTCAAACAGCTCAGGCTCTGACGTGCCAACAACGCAGCTTTCTTAACCTCCCACTTCAGGACAGAACTTGAAACTCATTCCTACTCAATCCTATTGGAGTATGAGATGCTTATCAGCTGACTAATCCAACTGCCTCCCACCCCTGCCCCCCAAAATCATGCACATCCCTTTGAATAGTTACTCCTGGGAAGGGGCCTTTTATCTCAGCCTCCTCTACACACATTGTAGAGTATTTTTCACAGTCACTGGTCAACCAGAGACTTAAGAAATGCCCCAAACGGCTTCTGTGGTAAAGACCTTTAAAAACCTACCTGTAGTTCTTTCAATTCTTGTGCAACTTTGTGCTCGTGGAGTCCTATGCAGGCCTATCGTACAAACTGGAAACCTAAACACTGCATTTGCACATCTGCAAAAGGGTATGAACAATTCCAACTTCTGTGGGCTAGAATTAACTCCAAAATTATGTGATCCCACAGTTTTCCAAAAGAACTTATCCCTGTAAGCACTGAACATTTAGAGAACAGATCCCAGCTTGCCCTCCCGTGCAGTCTGCTGCTGGTTTAAATGCTCAAACCTCTTTGTCTGCCTGAGCTCGATGAAGGTCAGGAGCTGGCTCCTCAGACGGCACTTCGAACAGAATCCCAGGCTCCTACCTCAACAGGCAGATGCACCTCTAGACTTCCACACCACTGTGCACCTTTAAGAATCAAAGTCGCCAACAGGGAAGTCCCCAGTGATAGGAAGTCTCCACACACGTGCTGGGATGAGCCGCACGGCTGCCCATATTTAGACATCCACAGCTCATTCTAACACTGCATGCTAGAGACACGACCTCACTTCCTGTTCTTTCAGCAGAGTTCACATCAGAGCCAAATCTCACCAGAACCTAGAAAGTACCCCCAAAACGCTCCTTCTTCTGAAACCAAGGGCCAAGGAGATTTCCAAAGCAACTCGTACCAGATGCAGGACGGACAGTGAGCCTCTGCCAGTCGGCTCCCATACTCAACACCACTCTGCTAGGCCAGTCAGCTTCGCTAGGACAGCAACAAAAGCCTTCAGAGACCTTTTAGAAGCTGCATCTTTCGGTTTCCTTGGTGACCGTGCCGTCACCACAGTTTGCAGGCCCAAAGCCAAGTTTTCATAGCAACCCATTTTTTTTTTCAAGGACTTATCAGCATTTTCTGAAAGCAAACTCAGGCCCCAACACAGATCTGTAGAAGCAGTTCCTGTCCTTTTCATCTAAAGCCATGAATAAAAGTCCTCACAGGATGTTTTCTGCTTCCAAATCTGAGATCACAAGTATATTATGAACTAGCTTCAGAGTAGCCAGAGACTGCCTTATTCTTTGAACCCCCAGCATCCAGCACGAAAGACATGTTCATCACACTGAGTCCAATGCAAAAGAGAATCAACTATGAACATGGCCCTTGTTATTTACAGCTAGCAACACAGAGCCCCCTCCCAACTCCCTAACCCCACTGTATCAGACCGCTCATGAGCTTCCCCCCTACCATCCTGCCTCCTGCTAACCACACCGTGCACAGTCCCCGCACTCCTAACTCCGGACCTCATCGTGTGACTTCTTTGGCCAACAAGAGATGGGCAAGCAAGCAAGCGTCTGGGGAGTGCTTTGACTCTGGAGCCAGCCGTCTTGGAACTCGGGCCCAGGAAAGCATGGTCTCGCCTCCCGGGAGGGTGAATGGCCTCCAGGCGAGAGCTGAGCCACACGGTCAGGACACCCCAGCACCCGTCCACCCAACACGTCAGGGGCTGCCTGGGGCTATTCAGTGCCAGTCCAGCAGCCAGATCACAACTGCAGGAGATCCCAGGGAGGCCAGCCGGAGACCCGCGGAACCAGGCCCAGACGCTGATCCGCAGAAGTGACCTCTGAAGCGCTCACTACCCCACTGTTCTCCGCTGCCAACAAGAGCACAGGGATGGGAAAGGAAGAGGACAGAAGTGTCAAGAGAAGAAAAAAGGAATGAACGGCTCAATGAGGGCTCCAATCCACAGTTTGGAGGGGGAAGGAGAAAACGTTTGTCCAGAATAGTCTTTGTTAAGTTAGCATAACAAAAAAAGTTAAATTAAAACGAATTCGTTTCTATTACAAATTACACTTTCACTTTACAAGCACAAACCATGAATCAGAATCTGTCGGGTCCTCAAAAGTATCCTTAGAAAAACCTCTTCGTTTTTTTCTACAAATGGGTTTTATGAAGGGAGATGACAGCTCTTGAGTTGTGTAGCACCTGGTTACAGGGAAGAGGGCTAAACTTAAGATGTATACACAAAATACACTCCTCTCACACAGCAGGGGAGGGGATGCTGCAAATATCTGCTGAAGTTTCCAGATGTTAGCTTTTACTTCACCTGTAGTCGATCCCTAGAGTGATGGAATGAGATGCTCCCAGAACACGTGGAAGAAGTCTGACACTGGTCACTGTAAGTGACTGGCAGCAGGGCCCGCCCTTGTAGAACATACTAGCAAGAATACCCCCTGCTACAGTGACACAGTAACCCACGCTGGGCAACGATGTATCGATGTGCTGCTCACAGAAGACAGAAGACTGGGGGAGCGCTGGGGGCACGGGGTAGAGGCACCCTGCATGCTTGAAAATCTGCGTCTCACCTTTGACTCCCCAAAAAACTGAACTACTAATAGCAAGAGCCACAAGGGATCACTTGTTACTGAGACACAAAATTTACGGAGAGATGAACCGTTCACGGGGAGATTAGGGCGCGACATTTCAGGCAGATCGGGCAGTCCTCGACCTCCCCACACGTGCAACAGGCATTAGCTACGAAATAAGGACAGCCGGACAGGGTTACTGCAGTCAATTTTATGCAGTTACCTTTTAATACTTCATCTCTACGTTGGTTTACATTTTCTCTCCACTGAGAACGAAGTCATGTACAGTCTATAAATCTGGATGAATTTTAACTTTTTGTAACAGATTTGTGTAGACTTTATAGTAGTAAATGATAAAACAGACTAGTATCTACAAATACCTTACGCATTCATGACATACCTTTTTCTGAATGTTTTAGTTCAAGGTCATGCAGCTTGTCTGTTTTTCTTCAAATTGTCGCAAATCTCAAAATAACATCCAACAGATGTACTGAAAACAATCTGTGTGTAAGTGGACCCACACAGTTCAAATCCATGTTGTTCAAGGGTTGACTGTTATTAGTATTAAGTGTAATCAATCCATGGAACCAGTGTGGTTCCTAAGGACTGGGATGTCCTACAAGGAGGCCAAAACCTAGCCATTGTACTCTCACTCCACCAAGGCAGGCCTGGAGCCCTGGGAAGCATAAAGAAGTCTTTTCCCGGTGCAGGTCCCCCTACAGCACACTCGGGCGACTCCCAAAACTCCCAACACCAACACTGCTGGTTAACACCGTCCTCTCCTTTTACTCTGATGGGATTCCCACAAACTGCCGCCTTTTTTTTTTTTTAAGATTTTATTTATTTATTTAACAGAGAGAGACACAGTGAGAGAGGGAACATAAGCAGGGGGAGTGGAAGAGGGGGAGGCGGGCCTCCCGCGGAGCAGGGAGCCTGATGCGGGACTCAATCCCAGGACCCTGGGATCCACGACCTGAGCCGAAGGCAGACGCTTAACGACTGAGCCACCCAGGCGCCCCCAAACTGCCTTTTTCATAGCAACCTGGCCTCCCATGTGGACTCAGGGGCGGGGGGCATAGAAGCAGAAATCACTGGGTAAGCAGAGTAGGCTTCCGAGGACATCTGACAGCCATACTTACAACCCCAAATGAATCATCTGGAAGTGATAAAGGTATTTCTGGTGAGTTTGATTAGCATGACTAGGTTCGCCTGATCTGGAAACAAGGTGCAAATGGACAACAATCAAGCTTCCAGAACTGCAAAAGAGAGGTTTAGCCCAGAGACCACAACAGAGGCAGCACTGGGGCCACCACGGGGGAAACACCACCCCTTCCCCAGCAGGGACACCTCTCTGAACCGGTTTCCAAACGTGTCAGCTGTCTGTGAAAACTTCAGGTGAGTCCACTATCCCAGAGATTCTTAATCAGCTGTAAAATGTTTACCGCTATATATAAACTACCGGCGCAGCGGCGGACCACCCTCAACATCTGGGGGCTTCCAGCTCGACCACATACTCATTTAGCCACAGTTCTGCTTAGACTTCCTACCAGCCGTTCCTAACAAGGCATCTTTGGCAGGATTGGTTTTTCTTCAATTTACAGAAAACACAAAACCTTAATTTGAACACATGACAATTGACCAATCACTTTTTAAATGCAGTCAAAATAAGTTACAACAGGAAAAAAAAAAAAAGGCTTCTTTTTAACAGTTATAATGTATTCATTTGTTTCTCGAAACCAGTGCCTCCGGAGTTGCTTGGGCATATATCCCAAAGGAAGAAAACAATAAAACCCACCACTCACAGGAAATGTCCAAGTCGCAGTTTGGTTACAATGGCAACATGAGTTACTGACATTTCCTGTACCCTTACTAGCTTCAGGGGGAAGTACTTGGCTCTTTACATGCATTATCTCACTTAATCCTGTCAAGAACCCCGCGAAGTGGTCATTCCTATTGCCCTCATCTGGCGAGGCCGACAGCAAACCCTTCCAGAGGCCAGTCACCAATGGTAAATAGAGTCCTGTGCGCTTCCTCCTGACCTGAGTGCAGCTCAGAACGGCAAACAAATATACCTGACATTTTACCAGCAACCTCGCCAACCACTAGTGTTCTGTTTTGCAGCGTGTCCAGCAGGAGACACGTCGAATTAACTCAGATAGACACGTTACTTAATGAGAAGACAATAATGGTGAGATACACCACCACAAAGGCCAAAGGCAGGCTGACCCGCCAGCGTTTAGCCATCCCAAGAAAAATAAGAGGTGTTCTAGAAAGCAAACCTCTAATGAGATGTAACATTACAGAATCCTAGAGCTGGAGGGATGCAAATGGTTACGGGGTGCCAGATGCCCTAATTTTAGAGCAGTGAAAATGGAGATTCTGGGAGGTAGTGACCTAGTCCCGGCCCCCCGAGGAGTTAGAGACAAGCTAGAAACTCGCTCCGGGCTCATGCCCCTAACCTTGCACTATCCTGGGCACTACCTGCTCCCCTGTGAGTCCAAAACTTCCTCTAAAGCACTCATTGCAACTAAGGCACCTCTTTTTACCACCAAATCTTCACAAATAACCATGGCGTTTAGCAGTTTCGCCGGCTCCCTTACACGGCTCATTTTCCAGAAATGCTAAGAACAGCAGCTGCTGTGAGGAAGTCTAAGAGGCTGCAGGCAAAACCACCAGCTCCCAGCAGTTTTCTGTTTGATCTAGGCCGGCTCAACACCCCACGGTCCATGCTGACTTCAGCGGGGACAGACCAGACGCGCAGGGCTGGGCAGGAACCAACGCCACCTCTCAAAAGGACCTCACTCTCCCAGCAAGGAGAGGCTCCAGGCTCTAGCAGGGTCTCTAGGAAAGAGCCCAGACTTCGGAGTTCAAACAACCAGGGGCTGGCTGTACTACTTAACACAGGGGTAGGTAACTTACTCTGGGTCTCTCTTTCCTTTATCTGTAAAAAAGGAATCCTATCTCACGTCTCCTAAGGTTGCTGGAAACATTAAAAGGGTAACATTTAAAAGAACACAGCCTAAAACAGGATGCTTCCCACTACACCCTGATGTGACTGGCTGTCCTTCCTGGATTTAATTAGTTAAAATTAAATAAATCTACAAATTCAGTTCTTCAGTCCCACCAGCCTTACTTGAAGTGCCTGATAGCCACATGAGACGAGTGCCTCGGAGAACACAGATCCAGAATGTTTTTCACCACCACACAAAATTCCATGCCCTCGGCCACTGCCTACATTCTCACGACTTGTGTGGGCTACGGAGAGCCACCCTGCTGCCAGTCCCACACGGTCCCCGGAGGGACATTTCTGACAACGCGCATCTGAACTTGCCTCTCCTTCAGGGACTTCCCATTTCCTTCAGGGCCCCTGAGTCCAACCTCCAAACCCTCTATCCTGTTTCATCTCTGAGAACCTGCCCCTCCACGCTGCCCCCCGTGCCACGTGCACATCTCCCGCGTGGGCGTGGGGCTCGCGGTGACACACAGACAAGCAGTTACCCTGATGAAGCCCTCAGGACCACCCACCCTTTGGGCAAAAGGACACAACCTCTCCCACAGGGACTAATAATTTCCAAAGTCAATCTCCAGGCAGCAGAGTGTAGGCTCCGCCGGGAAAGGGCTGAACAGCGGTCTCTGGGGTCTAGACTCGAGAACAACTGTGCTTGAGGAAGCCACAGTCGGCACCGTGACCACGCCGGTCCGGGACCCTCTATCTCTCAGCCAGCTTCCAGACAACAGCCGCCACAACCAGTGATTGTTCATCAACACAAAACCCATCTCCCTCCCCTCCGCAGGCCGGACTCAGTGCCTGCATCCCGACCCCCCTCACCCACCCCCTTCTTTGCCACGCCGCGTCCCAAACCCTGCACTCTGCCAAACTTCCCGATTTCCCCATTCTGGTCTCCCTGGAATCTCCCTCAGTCCTCCCCACAGACCAGCTCCTACCTTGCTTCAGCCCTGAGCTGCATCACCATTTCCTCAGGAGACAGAAGCAGTAATTCAAGAAAGGACCAAGGGCACGAGCCTCAGGGAACAATGGATTCACCCCACTTAAGATTCCCTCTAATACTACCCTGAGGACCTTTTCATTAACGAAGCAATCCATCTCCACCCGTCCCCCAGGATGGTTTTCTGCTCCAGCCACACTTGTTTCCAAAATCTGCTATGCTTTGCGGCAACACCTACACACACACACACACACACACCCTGGAATGACTGTGGCAAACTTTTCAACCTCAACCTTCAAGGTCAGCGCACCTGTTACCTGTCAGCTTTCCTCCCCTTCAAAAAGCCCTCCAGAACACCGCTTCCTGGGAACTGGGCTCCCACCCCAGCTGGGCTGCAGGCCACTACTCAGCTATTCTCACCCTGTGACAATCACCTACTTGTTAACCCTCCCCGGTCCATCCCGCCCACATGGGGCCCTGAGAGCAAGGACTCTGTCATCTCCAGCTGGTGCCAATTCCTGGAAACTACCGGGCATTCAGAAAGAAAACAAAAACAAAACTCCACGAATGAAAAAACTAAGCCAAGGAGACAAGCTCAAAGTCTGATTTGCCCTAACTCCCTCACCTGCGCAGTTCTCCCTCCCTCCACGAGGTCAGATCGGTTCTCTAGACTCTTCTGCGGGGCCTCTGGAGTCTCACCAAAGAGCATTAAAAGTTAAACACCGTCCCTGCTCCAGCCTCAACACAACAGTAAACACAAATGAAAATGTGGGGGCCGAGATCACACCCCCTGCCCGGTTACAAAGGGTCATCAGGTGACCTATTAGATGCCCCTACTTCAGTTATCTTATCATCAGGAATTTTCACACCCCGGGGAAGACCGTCACAGATGCCCCTCGGGGGTCCTGGACCTCAGGTTTGAGAAACCCTGCCTGGAGATGAGCCGAACGGGGGCTGGACGCTCAGAGCAGGCGGTAGAGAGAGGCAGGGGGGAACCCCGGGGTGGGGGTGGGGGTGGGGGCGGCGGCGGCGGCCCCGGGCTCTGGGAGGGGGCTGGGGAGCGAGGGCACCGGGGGCCTGCGCACCTGGACGGCTGACCCGGGGCGGGCTCGGGGGTCCTCGGGCAATCTCAGGAGGCCCTCGGGGGGTCCGGGCGTCTAGGGGAAATCCTGAATGATTTCGGGCTTCCGGAGTCCTGGAAGTGGCAGCGGCAGAGGTGGCCAGGGACTGCGACAGGGTCTCGGGGACCAGCGGTCCTGAGGGGCGTCTCGGCGGCTGGGGGACCCCGGGGAAGGCGGGGAGGGGTCACCGGGACCGAAAGCGCTCTGGGCCCGGCCCCCCGGGCCTCCCCGCCCATCCCCCTCACCTGCGGGGCCAGCTCCCGCCGCCGCCTTCCCGCTCAGCGGTCCACCTCGCCGCGGGGTCTCGGGGTGGCCGCGCGCTCCCCGCGCTGGGCGGGGCGGGCGGAGGGCGGCCAGCGGGCGGAAGGCTGCGCGCGCAGCCGGGGCGGGGCCGGGGCCGGCACCGGAGCGGGAGCGGACGCCGCGTCGCCCTCAGCCGCCGCGCTCCCGCTGGCCGACCGCGGCACCGCCGCAAAGTCTTCCCCCGCACGCCCGCCGTCGCCGCGCGGAGGTTCCGCCCGAAACCAACGGCCCCGCGAGGCCAAGGCCCCGCCCCCGGCCGCCGGCCCCGCCCCGCCCCGCAGCCCCGCCCCCTCGGGCTCTCCGGCGCAGACGCGGTGGAGGGCGCGCGGAGAGCTCGCGCCCTCGAACCCGCCGGGTTGCGCGTCCTCGCTCCTCGCGTCTGCAAAATGGGCGCAGGCGCACTTTGTGGGGACGTGGCGAGCGTTTCCGTGAGGCCGGAAGCGCCGCTCGGCTGCCGCGCCCTGGGCCGCGTTTGTGCGCGGCTTCGGCGCCCCGGGCCCGGGCTGCGGGCCAGAGTCCTCTCCCCGGCCCCGCGCTCTGCTCTTTCAGAGCCCGTCGACCTCAGAACCTACGCACGCTTGTTACCGTCTCTCTCCCTGCCCCACGGGCGTCCCTGGGTCCCCAGAAGCTCGCACGGAGCCGGGCGGTCGGAGCCCAGTGTGGGTGGATGCATGGGGGCCCTCCCCGTGCGCTCCCCTCATCCAGAAACGCGCTTCCGCACAGGCTGAGAGTGGCACCGGCTGGGGTTCGGCCCCCGAGGCCCTGTGGCCTGTCCCTCTGTGCCCCAGGGTCGGCGTCCGTGAGCCTGGGGTGCTGGGGCGAACTCAGGTCACGCGTGCGTGGACTTGGCACAGGAGCACGCAGTCCTATTACTCGGGCGGCCCCCTCCTCCTCTTGTCTGCCCCTTGGAAGTCAGCTTCCCTGAATAAGACCCGATTGGCTCAGAAAACACTTCCTCTGCGCAGCCTTCCCACATCCGCCCTCCCTGCCCTGCCCGAGCCAGCCCGAGTTAATGATTATTTCTTCGCTCCTCAGCACTGTTTTTAAAGCTTTAAAGGTGATTGTTAACATCCCCCAACCCACCCGGGAAGCGTCTGCGGTTCAGCCTGTGAACTTTCGGGGGCCCAAGACACTGTGGGGGACGGTGGCTTGGGAGTAAACAAGGCAGAGGTGGGCTCCCTGTGTGGTGCGGGGCACTCACCTGAGCACTTGGTCCGTCCGAGCGCCTTCGTTCAGCCCCCGGAGCATCCCCGGGTGGAAAGCGCCATCGTGATTATTGCCAGAGAGACGCAGCTGCTCTCAAGTTGTGGAAAATTACTGAGAGGTGGTGCCACCTGGCTGCCTTGAGCATTCTCGGGGTAGATAAGGGGCTGGCACGGTGCTGGCGTCCTGGCGTGCGTGTCACGTGGTGCAGTCATTGGTGTCCTAGCCTCCTCCCAGCTGCCATGAGCATGCCCTAGTGTGTGTTGAACAAAGGAGTAAATATGTGTGTGCGTGAAGCAACGAGGCTCAGCATCCCGAGCCCAGGGACCAACTCCATTCATTTCCGTACTATGGTGCTCTCGTGGGCACACGACAGGGGCTGCAGGTGAAACACTGGAGTGCCAGGAACGGAGCTGCTTTTGTGTGCCTGTATTCATGATTGTTTACTGAGCACTTAGTACGTGCCACATTCTAAACGCTTCCTACACATCTTCATATTCACAGTCACCGTACGCAGTAGGTATTATTCCCCTTTAACAGACTGAGAAACAGAGGACTGAGAGTACCCAGGCCAAGGTGCAAAGTGGGTATCTGCTTGGTACGGCTGCCAGGGGCTATCTGGCTACAGAGGGAGCTTGGCACTGTCAGAGAGGAGAGAAGGCCCAGAGTCACCGACAGGGTCCCCAGGAGGGGGGACAGAAAAGACAGCAGAGACCAGCCAACAGTCCTTCCGTCCTGGAGAAGAAGTTGTTGCTTTATTGTGTGGGAAGACCCACATCATAACACAGATGCGCCGCACTGGTGTAAGAAGCCAGACACCCATGCCTCATATGCCCTGGACCACAGCTGCCATGGATCACATACACCGCACACACACAACCTCACCCTGTGCGTTTAAGTCCCCGCATTACACATGCATGCTATAGATGCTCCAACGGAAAAGGAGCTAATTGTGCCTTTCGGACACCCCCTCCCCCATCAGTTTCCTGCAGGAACTTGTGTTGTCAGCAGGCCAGCAGGTAGGGCTGCCATGTCAGCGCTGGGCAGAGGTGGGGTGTGTGTGGCTAGTGGGATGGGTCTGCTGGCAGGAGAAGGAGGAAGGGAGCTTCGCCAATGCACCTTGGAAAGTCTCTCCGGCCCTTTTTCTGCCCCATCCCCACTCACACACAGGCCCCAGCTCAGGCCTCCCCAATGCTGACCTGGAAGTTTCCAACAGCCTGCTCTAGGGTCTCCACTCACCAATCCATGTCCCCCAGCCCCTGGCAGCTGTGATATGGCCAGGGGGACCAGCATGGCCACTGAACAAATCTGTACTGAGTGCACACTCTGCTAGGAGCTGAGGACACAGCCCGAGAACCATCCCCTGAACTCACGGGGCTGACACTGTAGGAGGGGAAGCAGGCAGTAAACACACCTGTCAGAGTGGGACGAGGCTATAAAGAAAAAGGAAGTTTGGGTGAGGACAGACCCCACAATGAAAATAAAAGGGCAATAGACAGACCAGGGAGAAATTTGCAAGACGTGTATCTAACTAAGGACCCAACTAGAACATAGAAAGAACTCTTATAACTTATAATAAGAAGACAAACAACCCAATTTTCTAGAACTTGAACACATGCTTCATCGATGTAGCTCTATGGATGGCAAATAAGAACCTGAAAAGATGCTCAGCCTTTTTAGTCATTGGGGAAATGCAAATCAAAACCATAATGAGATAGCACTGCACACCACTCAAACGGCCAAAATGGAAAAGACCGACCATACCAAGTGTTGTTGAGGGTGTGGAGAAACCGGAACTCTCACGCGCTGCCCTTGGGAGCATGAAGTGTTACACCTATAGAGAGGCTAAAATAAAAGGTAGTGGTGGGGCGCCTGTGTGGAAGGATTCACCGTGACCCCCTGTTCGGTTAAGCGTCTGCCTTCGGCTCAGGTCATGATCCCAGGGTCCTGGGATTGAGCCCCGCGTCAGGCTCCCTATTCAGTGGGAAGTCTGCTTCTCCCTCTCCCTCTGCCTCTGTTTGTGTTCCCTCTCTCGCTGTGTCTCTCTGTCAAATAAATAGATAAAAATCTTTTAATAAATAAATAAATAAATAAATAAATAAATAAATAATTACAGGTGACATCGCTGGTGGGAATGCATAATGGTATGGCCACTTGGAAAACAATTTGGTGGTTCCCAGAATGTTAAACATAGAATGGCCATGTAACGCAGCAATTCCACTCCTAGGTACATACCCAAGACATCTGAAAACAGGTGTTCACACAAGTACATGAAAATGCATGCTCAGAGCAGCACTGTTCTAAATAGCCAAACAGTAGCACGATAACCAAGTGGGGGAAATAATCCAAATGTCCACCAATGGATGAACGAGAGATCCATACAATGGACTACTTACTACTCAGCCATAAAAAGGAACAAAGCTCTGACACCTGCTACAATGTGGGTGAACCTCAAAAACAGGATGCTAAGTGAAAGCAGCCAGGCACAAAAGGTCACACATTGTATGACTCCATTGATATGAAATGTCCTGAGCAGGTGAATCCATACAGGCAGAAAGCAGATCCGTGGCTGTCAGGGACACGGGATGGGGGAGGAGGAAATGGGGAGTCACTTCTTCATAGATACAGAGTTTCCTTTTGGGGACATGAAAACATTCTGGAACTAGGTAGAGGTGATGGTTGCATAACGTTGAGAATGTACTGAATGACACTGGTTTGCTTTGAAATAGTTTCTTTTATGTTATGTGAATCTCATCTCAATTAAAAAGAAAATAAATACAGGCATGTTATAAAGCAGAATGCAAACTTGCATGAATTTCCAACAACAGCAGACTTCCAGGGAGCTTTGCCTCCCCTCTGCTGCTGCTGGGGATTCTCTGAGAGAAGCTCTGGAAGGACTGTCCTAACTGAGGCAGGGCTGGGGAGGATGCACAAGACGGGGGAAGCGGGAATTCCAGTGGCTGCCCAGGCCAGCTTCCTGTGTCCTGCAAGACAGTCTTGAGGGACTGGGAGCTGGTCCAAGGCACACCCTTGAGAGCAGCCCCATCACTCCCTCCCATCCCCACTGCCCAGGGACTGGGCTCCTCTCAGCTCCTGGGACCCTCAGCTGCTCTGGCTTCTCCTGACCCCTCCCTGCCTTTAGGTTTCTTCGCACAGCTTCTGCCCTCCAGCCTCCTCAGCTTTGGAACCCTCTAGCAGATCTGTGGCTGTCTCAGCATCCGTGCCCCCAGAGGATGATCTGGGGCCCTCAGAGCACCCCATCCGACCACTGCTGATGAAGCCCAGTGGGGAGCATGCTGCCACTCAGGAATGCAGCCTTCCTCACAGCTGGCAGGTAGCATTCCTGCTTTATAACCCAGTCCTGCTCTGACAAATTTCTCCTTTTGGTGATGGGAAGCGGGACTGTGACTCCTTTTGCACATTCCCCAAAGGGAGGTGGTCTTGCTACCTGGCTCAGAAGACAGAAGTGAGTCATCTGAGCCAAGAAGCAGGACTGGGAGAGTCCCTTCACCCCCCAAGTGGACTTGGTGCCCCTCTTCTGTGTCCCGAAGCCTCTTCTGCCCACCCACCGTGGGGCCTTCAGGGAAAGCTGAGAAGGAGCCTTGAAATCAGCCATTTACATCAGCCCATTTTACAGATGAGAAAGCTGAGCCCCAGAGGGAAGGAGCTGGCTGCTGGGGGTGACAGGAGCTGCCAGAAGCTGCCCCCAGGGGGCCCAGTTGGCTTCCAGTACCTCATAGCCAGCGAACTCCAAATACCATCTAATGACTGCATGCACAGCCCTTCTCTCAGGACCCCCCCAGCTCATGAGAGGCAATCAGGGTGGGACTGGTTCCCCCATCTTCCAGATGTTCTGACAGCCCCAGTTTTCCTAACCCTCACCACTTCCACTCTGACTGAAAAGTAGCCCCCTGACCCACCCTCTAGAGAAACATTCCAACCCCTCCATATGACATCAACTCATTCACTCATTCATCCACCATCTCACTTGTTCATTCGGTACATCTCTATTGAACTCAGAATCTTGGGAAGATTTTATTAAAGTTGTTCCTGCAAGTTGGACCAACATGCCCTGTTCCTCCGTGGGTGAGGTCAGGGCATGAGCACCTGCTGCACGCAGGCCCCCGAGGCCAGGCGGGGAGAATGCGGCAGCCCAGGGGCGGTGCCCAGGTTCAATCCTGGAGCTTGCTCTTGTACACCTCAGCCCTGTCCAGCGGCGGCCCCCGGTTCACAGACGTGTACGCAGCCTCTGAGGTCCCCAGGGACCTGGGGACAGCCTCCTGCGTGATCTGGGAGTCGTGTGTAGTTTCCCTGTCCGAGCTGCCCGTGTCCCTGACCAAGGGGATGGAGAGGGTGAAGGTGAGGGTCACAGAGCCGGCCTAAACCCCTCTAGCTGGTCAGGAACTTTCTACTTAGACACGCTTTCACAGATGTTGTCTTATGCATGCACAGCAAAGAACAACCGGACAGAATGGGCAAGTCTAGGTGGGAGCCACGGGAAGGCTTCCTGGAGGAGCGAGCAGTTACTATGCCCTGAAGGAGGAGCGTGGGGGCTGAGAAAGGCATTCCAGGCATGTGATAGGAAGGGCTGAGAGTTCTGGGGCAACACTGGGAAGTTTGGTGGAGCTGGAGCTGGGGTGGGGACAGAGGGGAATAAATGGAAAAGCCAGGCCAAAGTCGGATAACAGGACCTTTGGTACCAGAAAAACGTGTTGTCCAAAGGGAGGGAGGGACATAAGCATGTCCTGACGGCTCCCAGGTCTGGCCAGACAGACCAGACTCTTGGTGGCTAATCTTATCTATTATTTGTGTTTTTATTACTTAAATGTCAGAGGGCAACCTGATTTGCAAGTTCACTGCCCTCTACTCCATCCCCCACCCACGTGGCTCTTTCCACATAGCTAATTCCTGTGTCCACTTAATCTCACCTACTCCAAGAAGCTTTCCCGTCTGCTCCCCCCATCCACACTGGGACAGGCACCCCACCATCTTCAAAGCCTCCCGGGGGCTCCCTCCCTCTCGCTGAGAAGCACATGATTCACCCCTGTCCTGAAGAGACTTTGCTCCTGTTGTTCCTTCCTCCAGGAAGCTCACCCTGGTGCTCCAGGCAGGATCTTCCCCACCCTCCTCCGGATTCCCACAGCACCTGCTGGTGCCTTGATTCAGCCCCTGTGCCAGCCTCCCAGGATTACTGGGTTGTGTGCACACCTGCTCCAGACATCCGCTCCAGACGCCCACAGGAGACCTAACCCAACCTCAGAGCTATCGGTAGCGTCAGGAGACCAGGGCTCTGGCCCCAGCTCTGTTTTAACTGGCTGTGTGACCTTGGGCCACCCTTAACCCCCCTGGCCTCAGTTTCCCCACCTGTCCAGCCAGTGGGTGAATTATGACAACAGAAGCTAACAGCTGTTGAGTATCCAGGTGCTGCCCTAAGAACTCTGTAGGGATTATGTCACTTAACCGTCATGACTCCACAGGGAGGATAAGATTTATTAATATCCCCATTTCCCAGATGAGGAAGTTGAGGCATAGAAGGAGAGGTGTCAGAGCTGAGACCCGCCCACAAAGCCCTGCTGCTGAGCCCCTCCCTACCCAGCTGAACGACCCCAGGACGCTGCTCCCCTCTCACCAGACCCCACCCCGCCCAGGGTGGAAGGCAGCTCCCTTGCCTTCTGGGCTCACCCCCGCCTCGGGAGACCCTCTGGGTGGAGCGTGCCCAGGGTGCCCCCGAGTCTTGCCCTCCAGCTGGCGGATACTCACAAAAGGCTGAGGACAATGGCACCAGCAAAGGCAACGAGCAGGAAGAAGGGCAGGGAGCCCAGGATGGACGTGATGACGATCATGCCCCCGCTCCGCCGGCCCGGCCACGTGTCGATCGCTGAGTACGGGGTGACTAACAGGACACAGGCCCACTTACTCCCCAGACACCGCACCCCTCAGCCTTCTCCCAGGATGCACAGGGGCCCCCCAGCCTCAGGTCTCAGGATGGAGCGGGGACCCAGGTCAGAGTCAGTCTCCCCCCAGGTCCAGGGTGCAATTAACTTGCTTGCCCCACCCCTACTTCCCAACTCCCTCGTGTGTCTCGTCTCTTCCTCTTTTAACTGTCTTTCTGCATAATTTTAAATTCTAAATGAACTCAACTCCTCTGGTGAAATGGATGGGACACGGATTATAAACAATTAAAGATGCGACAAAGGGCCCGGGTCTAAGGGAGTTGGATGCACCAAGGGTCCCCCTCTGCTCTGGCCCGTGTCACCCTTCTGGAACTAAGTGAACAATTTATAGGTCCTCCTGTGAGCCGGCCGCTTTCTGGCCACTGTCCCATGTAGACCCGACAAGACCCTCATTCTGTAGATCGCTCACTGCCGCTGAGGGAGGTTGAGTTCCTGTTCAAGGGCACTCAGACTCCAGACTCAAGTCTATAGACCTGTCTGGTCCCAAAGGGCATACTCTCCCCACAAACTGACCTCAGGCCCTGCCCAAAAAGAACCAGGCCTAGTGCTTTTGTCTGGGTTACTCCAAGGAACCCTGCTGGGGAGGCAGAGCAAAGATTTTTCTTCCCACTTCTCAGATGTGGAGACTGAGGTCCTAAGGGGTTCACAGAGCAGTGAGGCGCAGAGGCTGGGCTTGAATTCAGCACTTTCGGTCCCAGAGCAGCCCTGTTGCAGGGGGATGGCAACACATGGGCATGCCCCTGGAAGGGCAGGCAGGGGGCCACCCCAGCCACATGCGTGCACCCACACGCTTGTCTGTCTATGCCCTTCACTAGCTGTGTGACCTCAAGCAACCTGTCAGAGCTACTGCATGCCCTGTAAGCTTACCATGGATGGGGCGGGGGGCTCTACAGGTAAAATTCTCGGCTCTAGGCTGAGCCCATCATAGCATGAAGTCTCATCTTGGGAGCCAAGGTATGGGGGAGGGGTCTCTAAAGTTAGGGTGGGGTGCTGTCAAGATTACCATCTGAAATCTCTTCTGTTGCCCTTAGGTTCTGTAGACACGATTCTGGGTATAAACCTTGGATGGTGTTGAGAACCCGGATGGAGGCTTGAGGAGGGACAGGGCAGGACCATAGGCAGATGCCTGGGCCTCTGAGCCCCCTACCTTTAGGAAACCCACCCAGTCTCCAGAGAACGGGGTGGAAAGGTGGGCAGCACTCCTGCTCCCTCCCAGGCTCACCCCCTGCACTGGGTACTAGCCTCCGGAGCCAGCCAGAACCATCAGGATCCATTTGACGTGGCTGTGAGGTCTCAACAAAGGGGTGGGTTAGGATGGAAAGACAGGGTGAACTCCATGCCCCTTGGAGGCAAATGCCTTGACTTCAGTCATGCCAGCCTATCCTTCACCTGCCTCTCCCACAGCACCTGGCCCTCAGGGAATGGAGGGGGAGGGGTGATTTCAGGTCAAACCATTTTAAGATGCATTATTCTCATCAACCCGACAGCCTGCCTGTGTCTGGGGAGACTTTTCTGAGTGACAGCCTGAGTGTGCTTTCCCACGTTCCCCTGAGGGTCGCCCCCCAGCCCAGCCCCATCACTTACGCCGCTTGGTGCGGATGGGGTCGGACCACAGTGTCTGGTCCTGTACCAAGCCCGTGGACATATTGACAAGGACGTACTTGAACCTGTAGGGAGATGGAGAGAGCAGGACTTCTGTCCAAGCTGTGTGCCTGGCCACAGGCAGGTGGAGGGATTAGGATGGCGGGTGTGGGGGGTCAGAGGGGGTCCTTCCAGGAGATGGAAATTTAGATGGCCGCAGGGTGGGCTCTGGGCAACAGGACAGTGCTGGACTTGGCCTTGGTGCCATCCCCCCCCCTTTCCTGCCCCTGGACCCTTTCCATGAAGACTTCAGGGTCAGTGGTCCTCCTCTCAGCTCTCCCTCTGGGGCCCCTGTTTCCCTATTATCTACAGGATGAGTGTAGCATATCTGCTGAAGAGCGACCCATTTATCCTCATAGTATTCTTGCCTTCCACCATTCCCAGCCTGCTCCTTGGTATCACAAAAGGGACTTTAAAAAACAAAAAAAAAGTAATAATATTCATTCCCAACCCAACTGCCCTGGGACAGGGCTGCTCCTCTTCGTAGAAAGCCCCAGTTGAGTGTCACTAATCATAAAGGAAGATCAGCACAAGATTCCCAGAGCCCACCTGGGGCCTCAGATACGATCAGTTTAAAATGATGGCTATTCTGAGAACTCAAAAACCAACAGCCTCTCATTTAACACTTAAAAAAAATGAAGACCCTTAAAATCTCTACAGCCGCCAGTATTTTGCCTAATCTCCTATTTCTCCGAGTTTGAAGAGAATTCCAGAAGCTGGGATATGTGCTTCTGTGTCCCCCAGGTAGGAGGTTTGAGGAGATAGGGGGAGGTTTTCCCACACTGAGAACGAGGTCAGAGGTAAGAGGTTGAAGGTGGGGACCAGACACTAAGGCTTTCATCCTGCCCTGTGGCCAAGGCCAAAGGAGAGGCAAGCCTGACAGGACGGCAGGCGAGCGATGGTCTGGGCCCCCCGTGTGCCTAGCAGGTGCAGAGACTGGGCCTTAGGAGTTTCCACGGTAACAGGAGTGAGTACCCAAGGCTTTGGCACCAGACGAGACCCCATGGCCATGGATCAGGCCTGAGCCCCGAGCTCTGCACGGAAAAGAAATAAGTGTGGAAAGAAATCAGGGACCTGCTGGGGCCAGGGGAGGGGGCACAAAAGGATACGCCAGAAGGAGGCAGAAAAAAGCGGAAGATGAGGTGGGAGCTGGAAAAGCCTTCAGCGCGGCTCTAGGTCAGGTGGGGCCGCTGCTTTTCAAGTGGTGACCCCCCTCCCTCTCCAGACCAGCTAGTTTCCTCCCCTGGCAAATGAAGCAGATTGGGTAAGTGACTGCCATGCGGGTGATGAGCTGGGACCAGGCACAGAATTTGTGGAGCCCAGGGCAAAATGAAAATGCAGGTCCCCTGTTAAAAAACAATGAAGAATTTCAAGATGGCAACAGCAGAGGATTAAGCCAAGCAGGGGTCCTTCTGAGTGCATGGGCCCTGGCCCAGTCGCACAGCCCAAAGCATGCCCCTTCAGGAGACCCGGGACAGTCCTGGCACAAGAAATGTGGCCTCACACGCCTCACCCCTCCTGGGTCTCCCTGAGTGGGGATGGGAGCATAACTGCCCCGCCCCCGCAGCCACTCACACCCACCTGTATTCCGTGGCTGCCGACAGGGGCGGGTTGCAGAGGCCCGGGAAGTTGGGGTCTGACAGGCAGGTCCCGTTGGCACCCACTCTGACGAGGTATGCATTCAGGATTTCCGAGGCCCGGGCCACGTCCCCTAGGGCATCCAAGCTGGGCAGGTCACTGCAGGGGGCCAGGTCAAAGGCCGCAGCCTTGTAGGGGCCCGTCCTCCCTCCCTCTGTCTGCTGGAACGTGGAGCTCAGCGGGGTCCTGCTATGGTCCTGCACGGAGGCGTTCCTGGAGCTGGCTGCAGAGACAGCGTCAGCAGTGAGGTTCCTGGCCACCCCAGCTCAGCCGGTCACCCAATACCCCCGAACATCCTCTCTGAGCTAGTGCTGTGCTGGGCCCTGGGGTCCCAGGCGGAGGCAGGGTCAGGCCCTGCTCAGGGGCTCCCTGTGCATTGGCGGCAGATAGACAGGAGCACCGCCGACTTTGGGCAAGAGGAAGGCTCCTCTTTCTACTGGCCAGTAAGATCTTACGGGTCCTCCCACCCCTACAGACTTCTGTCATTTTCCCCGAGAGGCTGGCCCCCCGGCCAGGGGAATGGGAGAGGAGCGGCCCGCAGTGTGCACAGAATGAGCTCCGGGCCCAGGTGATGGCTCTGAATGAGCTGCTGTAAATGACCGGCTGCCAGAAATATAAGAGGCTGTCACTGGGTTCCTTCTCCCAGAAGCCCAGGATTGCTCTGGGGAATGGGCGGGGCTGGCCCAGAGCACTTGGGTCCAAGTGCATGGTTCCCCTCGCCAACACCAGCTGTGATCCACTGTGGAAGCTGGGGAAAGGGCTGGGGCTTGAGGCACCACAGAGATTTGGGCTCACTTTCCAGCCTGGGAGCTCCCGTTAGTTATCCCACCTCTGTGAGCCTTGATTCCTTGCTCTGTGATGGGACAGTTGTCTTGCAGGCTGATTGTAAACATAAGCACCAAGGTACGGGAAGCACCGAGCATGATGTATGTGCTCAGTGATGGGTGCTGTCTTTATTTCTCCACTAGCCTGCACATCTCTCCAGGGCAAAGACAGATGTGTGGCCGCACCATGCAGCCCAGGGCTGGCCCAGGTGCCTGTCAGTGAGGTACATGGCTGGGGGGGATGTTGAATGATATAGTTAGAGCATCCCACTACCAGCTTCCTTTCCTCCTCCCTGCAGACAGGCCAAAGCCCCTTTCAGCTCAGCCCAAGGGAAGCAGAACCCTTACCTAGGTCGACGAGGACATAGAGGTAGATCTCATAGTTGCTGCCAAGGGCCTCTGAGCTGTCAAACATGCAGAGAGGCTTTTCCAAGGCCACAGTGGTGAGGGTGGGGTTGTTGGTGGCAAAGGTCACACTGGCCAGTTGGGGCTGGAGGTTCACACCTAGAAGAGACAGTGAGGACAGGAGCTGACCCCCCAGTAGAACTGTCCACACCCATGGGCACACTCTGTGCCCCCCCCCATGTCTGCATACAGTTACTGGGCACCTAGGGTGTTTGAGGCACTGGGGTTCACCCTCCCCATGGGCCGTCTCAGGAATTTGTCTCAGACCCAGGCAGCACTCCTGCCCCCACCAGCCATCCCCCGCCCCAGAAACCAAGCAGTCCAGCCTAACTGCTGCCCTCTCTCTCCACCCACAGATGGTCAGTTGCCAAGAACCCCACTGCCTCTCCTAAGCATCTCTTCACCCAGTCAGCCCAGTCTGGGAGTCCCACTCTCTTCACTTGGACCCCAGAAACAAGCCTCCCCCCTCTCCAGTCCTTTGCTCTCTAACATGCAAATCTGACCCTGTCACTCTTCTGCTGGGCCCCTTCTGTGGCTCCCCACTGTGTTGGAGGGGTCTCCAACATGGTCCAGCCTCTCTGGAGGGGCACCAAAGTCCCAAAGCTCTGGGCTTTGCTTCCTTGGGTCTCCAGCCTCACCCCAAGCACGCCCCCCACCTCACGCCACCCCATCCTACGCTCCAGCCACGCTGATGGACCGGTCAAGAGAATCCCAGGATGGACCATGCCGCCTCCCTCCTTGAACTTGCCCTCGCTGCCTCTTCCCCTGAAATGTCCCTCCATCTCCTCCAGTCCAGGCATCTGCAGGGTCTAGTCCAGCCTGTTCTCTGCTCTCCCACAGCCCCCTGCGTGTCTGTCTCTCACAGCACCCATAACAGGGACCTGTGACCCATGAGCCCTGGAACCGTCACCCAAGGAAGCTTATTAATCGAGGTTGTCTTTATTATTAATATCGCAGGTCCCAGAGCCTGCACAGGGCTTGGCACAAAGCAGGCAGTCTGCCTATTCCTGGAGCGAATACACGAAGTTCCCCTTCCCAACGCTGCTTTCCATCCGACTCCTCTCAGGACGGTGGGATGATCAGGGCCGAGGACTCAGCCGCCCGCCCTCCCAGGGCAGCCCCCCCGCTTCTCCCCTTCCCCGCTTACCCACGCCGAGAGGCAGGCAGCCGAGGGCCAGCAGGGCCCAGAGAGGAGGCATCGCCCTGAACAAGCCGCGGGAGCGCGGTCAGGGTGGTCCAGGGCGCCGGGGAGCCCAGCGCCTCTGTGTCAGCGCACCTGGCGGCCGGGTCCAGCCCTCGGCGCGCCCCGCCCCCGCCCGCGCCGGCCAATCCCTGGCCTCCTCGCGGGCTATTTGCATACGCCCCTCCCCGTCCACCCCGCCCCGCTACGTGCCTGAGGCACACACCTGCCGCGCGGGCCCTTCCCCGCCCTTTACCGAAGCGCCTACTGTGTGCAGAGGCTGGGGCGGCGCTTTCACAGCGTCTCTCGCCTGATCATCCCCTCTGTGAGCGGCCCTCTCCACACTGGGAAATGGGGGCGCTAATTCGTACAGCTACTGATGGAGACCCTGCTAAATGCCAGGTACTGGCTGGGCTCTGGTGGAGATGGACCAGGTTAATCAGAGAAAGTGCCGTCGTGGAAACCTTGAAGTCCCGGGCCTGTGAGGACCCGGAGACCCCGCGGTGTGACCCTTTGGGTTCACAGGTGCGAGGCCAGGGCCGCCCACGGACTCCCGGACACGCCCAGACGGGAAGAGCCCAGGCCTGCCTCCCAGCCCCTCCTGTTTCAAAAGGCCTGCTGCCCAGGGGAGCCTTTGAGAACAGTGCTGTGGGCTTCACCTGGTCTAGCGGGTTCCTTCCAGCATCAGGAATCGTGTTTTTCTCAAAGAGCACCTTAAATATTACATTTTTCATTTAAGACGTAAGTCAAGGAGGATGGGAGAAAACTAAAACTGGAAACCAACAGAAAGTAAGGAATCCAGGTATAGTGTGAACGACATAACCCCGTGCAGAAAAATACCGTGTCTGAAACTCCGGAAGGCTGGTCGGACAGCACTCCCTTGTAGAGAGCACTCTAAGGGCAAAGAGGACTCTAGCAGAGCCCTGGTCCGCAGGAGCCAGGTGGTGGGGAGGGCAGAGCAGTTCTGTAGCAACTGGGTATAACTGGGGTCAGGACCCAGGTCCTCACTACAGGATGAGGGAGATTTGGAAGGGAGGAAGAAGAAGAACTTCTGGAGTTTTCTATTAGTAGTATTATTATTACAAAATAACAACTCCTTAGCTCTGTCTGCTCTAGTGACTCCCAAGTGGCAGGAGCCCCCACTTAGCACTCTGGGTCCTGAAACAGCAGTCCCCAGTAAAAAGCACCAAGGCCCCTTGGAGACATGGTGACTCTGGGGCTGGGACAGGGAGTGTCAAGAGGAGCCTAGACACTAAAGGATTCGAAGATGATGGCGTTATGTCCAAGGTTCTGGCACAGAAGGGGCTTGAAGGGGCTCCAGCAACCTGACGATGGAAAGTTTGCACACAAAATAAATAGTGGAAGTAACATATTTAGCCCATTGGATGAAACATGAATCCATGAGTCAGTACTGGTACTTTTAAAAAAGAAGTTGTATATAAAATCAATGCACAGAAATCAGTGGCATTCCTATACACCAACAACAAGACAGAAGAAAGAGAAATTAAGGAGTTGATCCCATTTACAATTGCACCCAAAACCATAAGATACCTAGGAATAAATCTAACCAAAGAGGCAAAGAATCTGTACTCAGAAAACTATAAAATACTCATGAAAGAAATTGAGGAAGACACAAAGAAATGGAAAAACATTCCATGCTCATGGATTGGAAGAACAAATATTGTGAAGATTCAATGCTACCTAGAGCAATCTACACATTCAATGCAATCCCTATCAAAATACCATCCACTTTTTTCAAAGAAATGGAACAAATAACCCTAAAATTTGTATGGAACCAGAAAAGACCCCGAATAGCCAGAGGAATGTTGAAAAAGAAAAGCAAAGCTGGCGGCATCACAATTCCAGACTTCAAGCTCTATTACAAAGCTGTCATCATCAAGACAGTATGGTACTGGCACAAAAACAGACACATAGATCAATGGAACAGAATAGAGAGCCCAGAAATGGACCCTCAACTCTATGGTCAACTAATCTTTGACAAAGCAGGAAAGAATGTCCAATGGAAAAAAGACAGTCTCTTCAAAACAAATGGTGTTGGGAAAATTGGGCAGCCACATGCAGAAGAATGAAACTGGACCATTTCCTTACACCACACACAAAAATAGACTCCAAATGGTTGAAAGACCTAAATGTGAGACAGGAGTCCATCAAAATCCTAAAGGAGAACACAGGCAGCAACCTCTTTGACCTCAGCCGCAGCAACTTCTTCCTAGAAACATCGCCAAAGGCAAGGGAAGCAAGGGCAAACATGAACTATTGGGACTTCATCAAGATAAAAAGCTTTTGCACAGCAAAAGAAACACTCAACAAAACCAAAAGACAACCGACAGAATGGGAGAAGATATTTGCAAATGACATATCCGATAAAGGGCTAGTATCCAAAATCTATAAAGAACTTATCAAACTCAACACCCAAAGAACAAATGATCCAATCAAGAAATGGGCAGAAGACATGAACAGACATTTTTCCAAAGAAGACATCCAAATGGCCAACAGACACATGAAAAAGTGCTCAACATCACTCGGCATCAGGGAAATCCAAATCAAAACCTCAATGAGATACCACCTCACACCAGTCAGAATGGCTAAAATTAACAAGTCAGGAAATGACAGATGTTGTCAGGGATGCGGAGAAAGGGGAACCCTCCTAAACTGTTGGTGGGAATGCAGGCTGGTGCAACCACTCTGGAGAACAGTATGGAGGTTCCTCAAAAAGTTGAAAATAGAGCTACCATACGATTCAGCAATTGCACTACTGGGTATTTACCCCAAAGATACAAATGTAGGAATCCGAAGGGGTATGTGTACCCCAATGTTTATAGCAGCAATGTCCACAATAGCTAAACTGTGGAAAGAGCCAAGATGTCCATCGACGGATGACCAGATAAAGAAGATGTGGTATATATATACAATGGAATATTATGCAGCCATCAAAAGGAATGAAATCTTGCCATTTGCAACGACGTGGATGGAACTGGAGGGTGTTATGCTGAGCGAAATAAGTCAATCAGAGAAAGACATGTATCATATGACCTCACTGATATGAGGAATTCTTAATCTCAGGAAACAAACTGAGGGTTGCTCGAGTGGGGGGTGGGGTGGGAGGGATGGGGTGGCTGGGTGATAGACATTGGGGAGGGTATGTGCTATGGTGAACGCTGTGAATTGTGCAAGACTGTTGAATCTCAGATCTGTACCTCTGAAACAAAGAATACATTATATGTTTAAAAAAAAGGAAGAAGAAGAAGGTAGCAGGAGGGGAAGAATGAAGGGGGGGGAATTGGAGGGGGAGACAAACCATGAGAGACAATGGACTCTGAAAAACAAACTGAGGGTTCTAGAGGGAAGGGGGGTGGGAGGATGGGTTAGCCTGGTGATGGGTATTAAAGAGGGCATGTTCTGCATGGAGCACTGGGTGTTATGCACAAACAATGAATCATGGAACACTGCATCTAAAACTAATGATGTAATGTATGGGGATTAACATAACAATAAAAAATTAAAAAAAAAAGAAATTGTAAAAGAGAACATTTTTCTTCAAAGAAGAACACCAACTAATAAACGTACAAGGAATGACAAAACAAAAATCATCATTCTGCAAACATCCTGGTAATAATGGGTTTCAGGAAAGAATCCTCTCAATCAACGTGAAAACCATAGATGAACGATTTTTAAGGAACAAGAGGTGCAGGAATCTGGGGATGTCAATTTAGTGAAGTAATTGAACCTCACATCACCAAGAATGGGGTGGGTTGACCTCATGTGCTTCCTGGGTCATGCCTCTGAGAAGGGCTCAGGACCATCTCTGTAGCGCTCCCATCCAAAAACTCTAACCTGAATCCAAACAAGAGGAAACAATCGGACAAATCCAAATTGAGGGATTTCCTGCAAGCCAACTGGCCTGGATGCTTTGAAAATGTTCATATCAGCAAAAGCAGAAGCAAGTACAAGAGGCTGAGAACTGTTGTAGATTGAAGGAGACGTGACAGCTCACTGCCCCTTGCAACCCCGGATTAATTCTTTTTTTTTTTTTTTTAAAGATTTTATTTATTTATTTGAGAGAGAGAGAATGAGAGACAGAGAGCACGAGAGGGAAGAGGGCAGAGGGGGAAGCAGACCCCCCACTGAGCAGGGAGCCCAATGCGGGACTCGATCCCGGGACTCCAGGATCATGACCTGAGCCGAAGGCAGTCGCTTAACCAACTGAGCCACCCAGGCGCCCCCGGATTAATTCTTAATAAAAACAACCTATGGGGTGCCTGGGTGGCTCAGCCGGTTGAATGGCCGACTCTTGGTTTTGGCTCGGGTCATGATCTTGGGGTCCTGGGATGGAGCCCCATGCCGGGCTCCCTGCTCAGCGGGGAGTCTGCTTCTCCCCCGTCCCCTCCCAAATATATGGATATTCATTGTATTGTTCTTGAAATGTGTCTATAGTTTGAATTTTGCCCAAGTAAAAATGTTTTTAAAAACCAAACATGCTGCTCCTCTCTCTGAGCCTCAGTTTCCCCTCTATGACATGGGAGGGGTCCAATCGCCGGAGCCCTGACATGCTGAGTGGATGGTCAGATCCTTATCACCGGGGGACAGAAAGTAACAGAAAGTCTCTGCCCCAGAGATAGGGATCTCTTGGGCAAAGCAGTGGGGGTTCCTCCAAGAATTTTTATGGGCTGACATTTCTCGTCCAGTGATTATTTGTGAACCTGGATTTGAACAGGGACTGGCCGAGCTGATCACAAAGGCTCAGCCCAGAATCACCCACAAGAGGGAGAAGACCCCAGGCATGTTTGTCTTCTCCCAGACACTGCAGTTTCTCATGAAAAAAAACATAAAAAAGTCCTCTGGTCTCTTGTCTTGCCCAAATATGGCGAGAACATCTGGGGAAAAGAGTTAAAATAACAATCTGCTAAGGCCCCAAAACATTCTGGGAAAAAAGTCTTGGATTTATAAACAAGTCTCCACTTCAAAGATGCTGACTTTTGTTTGGCCAATTCTGAAGAA